ACGAACGGCTGCAGCAGCAGATCCCAGGGGCAGCCAGGGTGAAAGGAGAGAGACTTCCTTAGGGTACCCTCCTGTTAGCGTGGCGTGAAGAATTGCAGCCTATGGAGAGCTGGCCCCCTAAAAGCAGCTGGGTGCAGAAGTTCAAGCAAGGAAAAAGGGTCAAAACCTTCATAAACAGGCCTGTGGCCTCGGCAGCCCGCAGGCGTTGAGCATGGCACGTTATCTGAGCTGCGCCCTGGCAAACACACCCCGTGTGCCAGCCAGGCTCTCTGCTCCAGCCCGGCTTCCGTGCTGAACGTGGGGCTCAGCTCATCTGGCGCAGCAGGAGACTTGCCCTTGATTTCAGGGCGTTAGCGTCAGGCCCAGGCTCGCTGGAGCCAGCCAAAGAAATCCCCAAAGGAAGGGCTTTTCCATGGGAACCTGAAAGACTCGAGAGTCACTGTGGGGATGGCCCCAGGACACAGGCCTTTTCCTCTCCGAAGGAGTCAGTCTTGCCCTCACTCATTCCCTTGTCCCGCGTGGCTCCGGGGTGGCCCCTGCTGCAGTGGAGCACAGCCACGCCCTTCTCGTGGGCAGGCAGTGCGAAGTGCTTGTCGCTTTGCTGTCTCCTCTTGCAGACCTCAGGAAACCCAGCCGCCAGCCAGCCACCCTTGCGCACTTATGTGCCGCTGTCCCTCTAGGTGAGCAGAGCTCCTCGGAGGGGGCTGTGGTGTGCCGGGGGTGCCCCTCTGGCTGCCGAAACGTGGCTGCTTGTAGAGCGGAATTGCGAGTCCTGCTCTGAGCTTTATTGAAATAGGCCAAGGACGCCTGTGTGGAGTGAGCCCACACTGCCAGACCCGACTGTCAGCTGGCCTCCCTTGCTCTCTCCAGGGAAGATGGCCCCAAGCAACCCTTCCTCCTCCCATCCTATTCTTCTCCTACTTTGTCTTAGTTTATCTCTTTTCTCTATTGTAATTGTTGTTCCCATCTTTTCAGCTCCACGGCTGGCTGCAAGGCTGCTACTTAAAATAAATAAAACCGTCTCATTCCAGGCAGCTTTTCATGTCTTCTGCGGCCTTGGGGAGGGGAGGCCTAGTCCCAGTCCCAGTCCCTAGGGCGGCTGTGCGCAGGGCTGGCTGTGGCTCTAGGCCTCTCCTCTGGCCAGGTTTTCCACTTCCCGCGGTGGGAGGTTCTGGCCTCGCTTTGATAGCACGTGTAGAGGAGCAGGGCGGTTCCGGCGGCGTGGATGGGGCCACGGGCAGTGTGTGAGCTGTGGGGGCAGGGCGGCTGGGTAAGGGCCAGACGCTCGCCCAGCTCTCGTGGTTGGGATGGCGTGACGGGGCCTGGTGGGGTCACGGTGGCTTTAGCATCGCGAGCCAGGGGAGGGGGCCGGCAGTCTGTGCCCTGCCGTATGGAGCATGGACCCTGTGAAAGTGGGGAACAGGGACTTCTGTGAGCGCTGCCCCGTGCCAGCCTGAAGTAACTGTGCCAGGCTGTGGCATGGGGCTGCCTGGGAGGGTGGAGGGGCAGTTGCTCAGGTGCCCGCTGCTGACCTCACACTTGCCGCCTGGCTGCAACATGGTCTGCATGCCCCAGCAGCGCTTCTGACCCCAGATGTCATGAATGGGGGGCCCTGAAGAATTCTGACGGGCCTATTAGATAGCTGGGGAGTAGCATCTCCTTCAGGGCACAGACACCTGTGCACCCACTGGCTGTGGCTCTTCTGTTGTGTGGTCTTCGTAGCCCCCCCACTCCCCCGTGGCTCTCACAGTGATGCATCAGGCAGCTGAGATCAGCCAAATGGTAGCTGAGCATGCCACTGGGGCGCGGGGCGCACACCCTGCTGGGGCTCTCCTGGCTTCTGAATGCCTGCCACTCTGGGACATGATCCTGCCTTCTGCTCCCAGAGAAGCAGGGTTGGTGGGGGGACTTGAACTGCAGCCGGGTTAGTATCACCAGGACTCCCAGCCGAGAGCTCTCTGGAGCTCTCAAACAGCCTCTCGTCAGACACATGCAGAGAGGAATTCTGTTTCACATGTTCCAGCAGTGTGAAGAGGGGCCTGTTTTCCCTGCCACTCTGGGACATGATCCTGCCTTCTGCTCCCAGAGAAGCAGGGTTGGTGGGGGGACTTGAACTGCAGCCGGGTTAGTATCACCAGGACTCCCAGCCGAGAGCTCTCTGGAGCTCTCAAACAGCCTCTCGTCAGACACATGCAGAGAGGAATTCTGTTTCACATGTTCCAGCAGTGTGAAGAGGGGCCTGTTTTCACGCCCAGGCTTCATGCTCCACAGAACCCCCTGTGGATCTCTTTGGCCACAGGGTAGAATTATCCCGGGACTCCGTTGAAATTCACGCACGGTGCAATGGGGGGAGGACACGCGGAGGCGAGAAGAGGCACGCCAATGTACCAAGCCTGCTGAGTCTGGCCCTAGTGCACCAGCATCTCGGGTTGGTGGCTTTGGAAGGCTCTGAAGGTGGAAACACTGCACCGGCCAGTGCGTGTGTCTGAACTGAGCACATCCAGTTCCTTGTCCTTGGTGCGTCTCCTTTCCACACCTGAAATACGCTGAATAAGATGGTTCCTTGCCCCTTTGGGGGGCTTCTCGGCAAGGTCTGGCACTGCCCGTGGGCTCTGCCTGCCGCGGGGAGGGGCTCTGGAGCTGTAAGATGGCGCACTGCCTGCTCGTTACCCACTGGCCACAACCCCAAAGCAGCGGGGAGGTGTCCCTCCTGCACGCAGGGCTGCACAGCGCCGCTGTGCCGAACCGCATCTCTTGCCAGGACGGGACGGGTAACCCTCACCTTCCGGGTCAGGGTTCCCCTCCCGGGCTGTCTGATCTCTGGCTGGGGCTGTCCGGCGGGGGCGGGGGTTGTGCCCAGTGCTGAGCGGATGGCTGCGGGGCGCTTATCAGCCGTGCTGACAGGCCAGGAAGATGAATGTGGCTGGGACGGTTTCCAGGGGCGCTGGCTTCTGGCAGGTCAGACTTGCAGGAAGCTCTGCTGTTGGGGAGATTAGATAACTGACCAGCATCCCGCCTCCCCCCTCGGCTGTGCTGTGCCACTCACCCTGGGCGCTGCAGGGCTGGATCCCAGCATTTCGTTCTCCGCCTCCCAGTGCTGCCCTCGGCCTGCGTCCTCAGCTCCCTTTCAAGGGAACGCAGGCCCCCAGGCCCCTTTGCTGTGCGCCAGACTTGGCTAAGACGCCTGGCCTGGCGACGTCCCAGCGGAGCTGCAGTGCCAGGCAGGGCCTGGGACCCCGGGTGCCGTAACACTCGGCACATCACACGCCTGCCCCCGGAGTGCACTGAGCAGGGCTAGCTCCTCGCGGCGCTCCACTGGTGCAGCGCTGGGCCGCAGTAACACCAGCTGTGCCCGGTGCACCGGAGCTGCCACAGGGTAGTCTCCTAACCACTTAACTACCCGACGAGCAAAGCTTATCCGTGAATGCTGAAGACCAGTGGTCCCCAACGCTGCCTGTGTGGGGGCATTTGTGTGCACCCACCAAGTGCTCGGGGCTGGCCCCGCCCCAGGCACGTGGCGCATGCGCGGTGTCAGCCCCAGGCGCGCTGCGCATATGCGGCACCAGGCCCAGGTGTGCGGCAAATTGGCTGCTCGGCGCATGGGGAGCACCAGTCCTGGGCGCATGGCAAATTGGCCGCCCCGCCCCCAGGTGCACAGCTATGGGGGGGTGCCGGCCCTGGGCGCGCAGCTCTGGAGGGCGCCAGCCCCAGGCTTGCGGTGAATGGGCGGCCCCGCCCGTGGCCACGCGGTGCACGGGGTTGCTGGCCCCAGGCACATGGCTCATGGGGGTGTGGCGTATGCGCGGCCCTGCCCCCGGGCTCGCGAGTGTCCCCGCTCTCTGGCACCCGGCAGGTGAACGGCCCTGCCCCCGGCAGCTCCAAATGGTTGGGGACCCCTGCTGTAGACTACATGCATCCCCCGCCCCGGCCAGGAAATGTGTGAATAGGCTGGCCAGCAGCTGGCTCAGTCCTGGCTTGCGCCGGGTCCTGGACCTACCCCCACTGCAGCTCTGCATTGAAAGGGCATTAGGAGCCAGGCGGGCAGCCCGGCTCAGTTCCGGCTCGCACCAGGTCCGGGAGCCCCCCCCGGGACAGGGGTTGCTGCTGCCTCTGTAGCAGAGGCAGCAGCGCAGGGCGCCAGGCAGCCAGTCCACGAGGGGGAGCTGGTTTTAAACTGGCTCCCCTCGTGGACCAGCTCCTGCCTGGCACCCCATCTGCTGCCTCTGGCCGGCCAGCTCTCTGCACACTGCTGCACCGGGTGTGCTAATCCCCTTGCTTCTGCTCTTGTCAGGGGCCCCACTGCCCCCAGCTCCGAACCTAAGGCTGTTCTCCCTGGCGCGGGAGGATGCCCTGCTGTTGAGCTGAGCTAGGAGGGCAGCACAGCCATCCAGAGAGAACCCCCTCGGTGGCAAGGCTGACACGCTCCCTTCTTCCTGCAGGCATAACCTGGGGCAAGGTGGTGTGCGGTGGACTGCGTCAGGCAGGCCCAGCCCGCAATGGTGCACATCATCGTGGACTGCCTGGGCGAGTTTGTCCGCAAGTCCTTGGTGACGTGGCTGAAAAGGCGAGGAGGCTGGGTAAGAGGGGTGCATTTCTCGCTTGCTTTGCATTGGGAACGAATGGCGGGGCTGTTCCCGGTGCATGAAACCACGAGGGAGCCTTTAAGCGACCGGTTTTCACAAGCTTCCCTTCCGGCCGGACTGCAGCCGTTCTGTGCGCCCCAGAAGTGGCCTCAGCACTGCCGAGTTCCTGCAGGGCTGGCCCTGTGCGGGGAGCGCTCCGGGAGGGGGGCTCGGGCCCTTCACCTGCCTGGTAATTCTGTCTCTTTCCGTATGGTGTTATGAGGCGCAATCCCACTCCAGGCACATCCTGTTGTCGGGGCACAACCAAACCCTGGCCTTGCGTTTAGTCAGCAGGGGAGCTGCCCCCGAGTTGGGTGGTCCCAGCTCTCACCGGGTCGGGGGAGTGCCTGAACACCGGCTCAGATAGACTCTCTCCAAGGCACAGCAGATTTTAGACTGGTTGCTGGTCCCTTAGTTTGAAAACCAGGCGCTGCAACGTGGTGCATCAAACCACTAGACTGCAGCTGCTGCCTGTGCTCCGCCACCTGCCAAGGAGTAGCTGGCCCTGGCCTAGAGGAAGGAGGCAAGACCGGGTTTCTGCTGAGCAGGGGCCTGCTGCCAGCCCTCGGCCAGGCTGCACTTGCTTCTCAGCATGTTCTTCGCCAGGGCATGTCTGTGGGAGACGTCCCAGCCCTGCTCACAAGCTGGCCAAGACGCAACGGCGGCTCCAGAGGCCCTTTCGGCGGCTGCCTGCCCTGCCTGTCATCTGTCTTGGCTTGGAATCCAAGGTTCTCCTTTGCACCCGCCTCAGCTCACTTGCCCACTCTAGGCAGGGGGCTGCCAGGAGGGGCCCGAACTCCGGGCTGGTGCAGGAAACCCCTGAAGGGACCTCCGAAAGGCAGCCACAGCAGGCTCCCCTCCCCACCATGGGGGAAAGCAGTAAGGAAAAGGTCAGGCCCGGGTGTCAGCCCTCCTGGGAGGAGCTCCCCGCCTGGACAGCCCCGTGGGTAGAGCTAAGTCCAGGGCTACACGCTAGTGCCAGCAGAGGAGAGCCAGTTGCTAAGCAGTGTTTGGAAGGATTTAAAGAACAGCTCTGAAGTGCTCCCCTCTACACTTTCTCAGGTACATGTTGGCTCTTTTAGCATGAGGCTTCAGTGCTGTCAACCCAACAGTGCTGGAAAGAAGCAGGGCACAGCCAGGGCTCGCCGGCCCCAGGGGCCTGTCAGCAGGAGAGCTGCGAGAGGCAGCGTGCCCCTCTCTGGACTGCACAGACCAATGACACAAGAATGCGCTGAGCTGGAGCGCCGACGCCGTTCTCGGCGAGCCCGGGCAGACACCGGCCTGAGGCGAGACGTGCAGAGGAGGGCGGCTGTAGCCGTGCCCGTCCCAGGATGTTAGTGCGATGCGGTGGGCTGAGGCATTACCTCAGCACCTCACCCTCCTTGTCCCTTCAGTCGCCCCAGCGGCAGAATCAGGCCCACAGTGACCTCAGCCATGCAGATGCCTTGCAACAAACGTGGTGCCTGACTGATGCGTGACAGTCACCTTCTGGAGGAGCGGGAGCTACAGATAGTCGCGTTCTGCAGCATGGCCATGTCTCCATGGGCACACGCCTTTGGACCAAGGACCCTTTCATCTCCCATTCACCATAGTGGGGGGAGGGGAGGGGTCTGTGAGCATCCCCCTGGGGCCAGGGGCTCTGTACATGCCCCGGTGCCCCTATTCCTGCCTTCCTCCCACTCCGAGGCCCCTTGGTGTTCCTCGCCCCACCCCTGCTATTTGTACTTCTTTTCCTTCTGTCCGAGAGCCGTCACTCAGGGTGTCAATATTTGCAGTGCCGCTGGGAGGCTGGCTGGAGCAGAGGTGGGCGGTACTGCTTTACTGGAAGGTGTGAGAGGCCGCTGAAGCTGTGTTCTGTAATCAGCTGGCAGGAGGTCCCCCGTTTCCCCCTTCGGGTTTTCTAGAGTCACCAAATCAGCGCTGCCTAGACCATTCCGGAAACCCGGCCAGCAAGAAGCGGGCGTGTTCCAAAGCTCTGGCTTCCCGTTCAGACACAGCAATGCCAGCGCGCTGCATGGATGCCCCGTCTCTGCCCGGCCAACGAGCCCATGGCATGGGGAATTCACGATGCTGCGGCTGAGGGCTGTTGGAACCCTGGCTCTGCACCATGGCATTCATGTGGGGCTTGGTGTAGCACCTCCCGCTGCTAGAGTATTTCCTACGCCAGTTCCCGCGGCCGGGCCCAGTGCTGCTCCCAACATCTGTGCCTCCACGTGCAGTGACTTCAGTAGGCGCAAGTCCTAAATCAGAGCGCCCTGTTAGAGAGCTGGGATGCTCTCGGGATGGACCAATCTGCAAGTGGAAGACTGAGGTGATCCCGGCCTGGGGAGAACAGGCTACTAGCGCTAAGTGACTAAGTTGAGTTGCACAGGGGGGCTCAAATTCGAAGGTGCCGAGACACGGAAGCCCACCATGACTAAGACTGTAGCACTGGGAGAAACGCCTCTGCTTTGTCATGCATCCCAAAATCCACAGCCACTTCTGGAGCCACATGTTAATTTGCTAAAGGTCGCCAGGAAAGCTATGGCAGAGGCAGAAAGAGTCTGGCTCTCCCGACTCAGCACACAACGTCAGCTACCATGCTGGTAGAATCAACATTTGGGGGGTTTTCTGCAAAGATGAACCTTTCTGTGCAGTTTAATCCTGTTCATTCCAGCCCTCTGAGGTTCCCACTTCTCACGTTTTCAGTGTGGCATGCTACCGTGTAGCCTGAATTTGCTGTTAGTTTGGTCCCCCTCCCCGGCCAGCTTACATTCCCCTGACTACTTACAGCTCGTTCTGGGCAGCTGGTTTTGAGATCAGCCCTCGCGTCTAGGAGGCATCCGTGCCAATGCGCATGTCACTACACAAAGCTCACGCAGTATTCCCATGCCTTTAAGTCAGGCAGGTGGGTTTGCTGACTTAGCTCCAGAGGACACAGCGAGGCAAGAGGAAAAGTCCAAGCAAGCTGAGCTGAAAGGAGGCTCTTGCTGGGGGGAGTTTCCTTTGCTCAGCGGTTGCTGGGAGACGGTGTGAAGGAAGATGGCGTCGAAGGAGATGACCAATCCTGCAGCGCTGGCTAGTTCCTTCGGGCCGCGTTTCACAGCTTGCAGGGTGTGGCGCCAGAGGCGCTGGGGGGAACGGTGTAGCTGGTTGGGGCAGCAGGGGCCCAGTCCCAGCCTCAGCCAGCAGGAGGCACGGGTGTAAGACGGTCTCGCGGGTCAGTGCGTGCTGGGTACTGTGCGTGCTGATTACCTCAGTTTCCTTCTCACTAGGCAGACATCACAAAGTGCGTGGTGAACACGGATCCCAGCCTTCGCTCCCATTGGCTCGTGGCTGCCATCTGTAGCTTTGGTCACTTCCTTAAGGCCGTCTTCTTTGTGCTGCTGCCAGAGAGATGATTCCAGACACCAAACGTGGCCCCAAGCCCCAGCTCTTCCCCCAGCCAGAAGGAATGGTAACCAGAGACCCATCTGCTGCTGAAGGGGAGAGGCCGGGACCCATGGAACCATTTCTCCCCTCTCCCTTCAGCAGGGAGCAGCTGCCCAGCTGCAAACATCCTTCCCTGTGTGCCCGGAGGCGCTTCTTTCTCTCTCTCAGAAACCCTTTGCAGCCCCTCGTTCTGCTGGGTGACTTGGACGCAGCCAGGTGAGAGCCCATCCCTGGGCAGACGATGGGCTGAGCTCTCGTGCGCTGCATGTGACAGTTCGTACATATATTTATTTTCTGGTCCTAGTACGCTCGCACTTCTGTGTCAGGGAGAGGGGGGACATAGTGGCAGAGGGCAGCGGGGGAAAATGTATCCCTCACTTGATACATGGTTTGTCCCTTTAATTCCCGTAATCCCCTGTCAGGCTCTTCTCCATATGTCAGTGGCTAATGCAATCCGCTCCTTGTACCCACGCTGACCGCTGGGCACTTGTGCCTAGTGCACTGTGGCTGAGACTGGGAAGTGGTGGATTATCGACTGCTGCCCTCGTCAGCTGATGCCCCTGCTGAGGTCACTTACCAAGCAGCTGGGACTCTGCGAGTGTAGGGGCTCCCAGACCCCAGCACGCTTTCCCCTAGAGTCCTGCTTACAGGGCCAGCAAGAACCAAGATGGGCAGAAATCAGCGTGGCTCACACAGCCGAACAAACTGGCGAGAGCAAAGTGCCACCTCTCCAGCAGCAGCCTTGTGTGAGCACGATAATGAAGCTGGATTTTTCTCTAAGATTCAGAGGGAACAGAAGCCTGTAAGTGGGATGTGGGGTGGGAAATGTGGCGACGTCCCAAGTGAGCAGCGGGCTGCGAATGGGGAACACTGCACCAAAAGTGACAAATGCTTCTCCTTTAGCCTATGATGAAGTCTGACTTGCAATTTCTCTTGTGCTAGACAATAAAAATAGATGGAGGCTGGCTTCTATGGACGAGAAGGGTGTTTCTTCAATAAATACAAGAGTGAGCTGAGACACGCACACTCAGCCTAGGGCACTGCAGGTGAAAAAGGGGATTTAACATGAGAAAACGACAGTTGGCCTTGTCTGCACTGGGATTTGAATCTATTAGCAGGGCACAGTAAGTGCTGAGTTCCCCTCTGATTTACCGGAGCCAGCTCACCTGGTGAAACTACAGCTTACCTGTGTCAGCTCGTTAGTTAACACATCTGACAAAATGGCCCAATGGCACTGCCAATGGAGCGGTGCTGGGCCAAGAGCTTGGCAGCTGCCTTGCTCCTGGGGCCAGAACGACTCACCAAACCAGTGTCTCTGGAGCAGTAACATGCCTCAGTCCTGGACAGGTGGCTGTCTGCCCCCTGCTTAGATGGGCAAAGTGGCATTTTCCCTTCTGAAGGTGTGAAAGCTCTTGGGCGCTAGGCATGTTGAAAGCAAGCAGCTTTCTACTAGCTGCCTCCCCAGAGCCCAAGCACAGCGCCTCCCCACCCCCTTCACTGCAGCTGCATGCAGCTCAAGGCTGGGTTTTCAGGTACCGTTGTTTCAGGGCCGCCGCAAGTCCCCCCACAAGACACGGACACTTGTGCTGGGGTTTCTGCCAGCACAACTGTGTCAGCGAGGGATAGGACTGCCTTTCCACATTCCCGCCAGTCCGCTGTGCCAGCAAAACATTCAAACAGAGGCCCAGTCAAGGGTGCCGTTAGCTCATGGGCTGATCTGGTTTTTGTGCTGCTGGAACTGTGGGGTCAGAAGTAGCTGTAGTCAGGGCAGTTCAAAGCCTTTGTGGGAAGACAGTTCTTGGTCCTTTAAGTGTACAGTACCCTGTGGTTTCTAAACAACCAGAGACCAGCTCCACATCACTCCTAATGCCTGGGCTACCCACCGTGCTTGAACTCAGCCAATTTAGCTGCCTTTTTTGTCTTGACTAGCATTTTGAGGTGTGGGCTACAAAGGTGTTGTAAGCAAAGCACTAGCACAGAAAAATGCACTAAATTAAGGCACTTGACAAATGCACCCATTAAGGCAGTATAACAAAAAGATAAGAAAAATCAAACAAGCCAGCATTGCTCAAGAGGAATGTGTGTAGGCGGGGCGGGGGAGGGGAGAGGGATATGTACACAGGCAGCCAGTGATTAAAACAGGAAACCCTGCTGATAGTGAAATGATACAGCGGGGCATTCTACTGAGCTTGGTGTGTGAAGAACCCAAGAAAGGCGATCGCTCGCGCGCTCTTTACGTTACCTGTATCTGACACTTCTGCCTTGGTGTGTATAGTACGGCTTCTAGTCAGGTGCAGGGTGGGGCCCCCACCCCAGGACAATAAGCGGAACTTGCCTCTGCAGTGGGAGGTTTTGGGCAGGAACAGACATAAGAGAAGGGTCCTCACTGAAAACCCATGCACATTCACTCTGGGGAGGAAACTCAGGGCTAGCAGCTAAGGGAATTTGTAAAGGTGGTTCGGTTCCTTGAATGTGAATCTTTGGCAGTAACAATATGATCATGTTCTTCTCCCACCCTTTGGTCCCAGAACCAAATGTAACCCATCCTCCTGAAAGGGCCACTGTTCATTTTTCACCTACCCTTTCAAGCAAGCATGATAGTACTTACAGCCAACTTGGAATCTCCTATCTGGAAAAACCATGCACCATAGGACACGGCAGAGTTATTTGCACTAATAGCTTCCAGGGAATGGCAGAGCATGTTCTACAGCAGACTCTCTCTTCCTTTTTCTTCTCTGGAACAGGAGGTTTTGAGCTTATGCAGCTGCTCCTGAAGCCAGCACTGCAGCTGTGCAATCACACAGTAACGGGAGAACAAGAATCCGTGTTAAGGAAATGCTGTTACATCGGCAGTAGTGCACTTACAGGCAGTGCCCTTGTGCGGCAAAGCGCTTACACCCTACACCAGTGTTTCTCAACCTTTTTTTATAAAGTACCCCTTTTTCAAAAAAAAATACCCCCAGTACCTACAGTCTTTAGACACATACACATTTTTTGCTACCATTGCAACACATTTGTTTAAACAACTAATTGTAGCCAGGCAGGTGATTAAATTTTTGGATATAAAAAGTACAAAAATAAGAAAGTGCTGTAAAACTTAAAACAAAAATTCAGTTTTCTCCAAATTTCAATTGTGTTGACGTACCCCCCAGACTTCTCTCGAGTACCCTTAAGGGTGCTCGTACCACTGGCTGAGAAACACAGCCCTACACTGTTCAAAGAACAACATGTAGGTCCAGTAGTATTCTTCCTTATTTCTCCTTCCCTACTGGGGATGGAAAGACAGTTACTCCTCATTTCTAAGTTTAAAATGTGTGTGTTTTTAATAGAACTGTAGCCGTGTTAGTCTGGTGTAGCTGAAGCAAAATGCAGGACTATGTAGCACTTTAACAAGATGGTTTATTAGATGATGAGTTTTCGTGGGCCAGACCCACAGACTGATAAGGGCACCTAGTGTAATTTCTCTAATTTATTTAGCCTCATTAAGAAACAAGGAGTAAGTTGTATGGATTTTTATTATTAATAAGTTGCTTTCCATTAAAAACCTATCCTGATGATTCACCATCCAGCTTATTTGTAAATAACAATGAAATCAAATAAAACTGCACTAATAATAAAAATAAACTTTTACACTGAGCTGTGGCCCTTAGCCAGAAGAGCTTTCTGTTATTTGCGAGCTGGTTGCAAAATGCTTATTTTTCTCCAGCCCACATGAAAAACTGATAAAAATTCAAGTTTTGTTTTGTCAAATCGCTGCACTTTTGATAAAAACCCAAACCCCAATCGTTTTTTGTTTTTTGAAGTCTCCTGATGAAACTCCCAACATTTGGCCAAAGCTGTAAAAGCCGAAGAACCATTTTCAGGCCAGCATCTCTCAACAGCAACATTTTGACCAGCGCTCATTCTGAGATGGACCTCCCGCTTCAGCAGCTGCATACCGCCCCAAGGGTACCAGTTGTAAGTGCCACACTCCCGGCTCCATCAAAGCCGCTATGTTAGCTAAGCTGACCTTTCTCCTTTTCGACACAGGAGAAAGCTGAGAACTGCATTATGTTCCCCATTGTTAATCATTCAAAAAACCCTAAAAGGTAGTACAGTTGTCAGGCCTGAATCTCTGTTACATGGATGAAGCATTGCACAATGGAACATGGGAGAGTTCAGAGCTTATGTAGAATCTTAACTGCAAACTTCCCTGCTTTCTATTTTCTTTCCTACCCTTCCCCCAAACCAAACATTAAAAATCTCGAACTAGGTCTACTTTTAAAAAAATGAAAATTGTTGCTCAAACCCCCTAGATGGTTTAGAAAAGCTCAGTCTAACAGCATGCTCACACTCTCATCCCAGGGGTTTCTTCACTTGGAATGTCTTTACATTTTTGCTTTTAAATCCAGTATTCATGATCGTCGAGATGTAAACACTTACTGTAGCTAGGGTAGGCTCTTAGAGATGTGGAATGCTATTCAATTAAACACAAGAAAATGTTGTATTCAAATGTGCTTCTGAGATATCGGTAACCATCTTGAACCCAAGTAGCTTGGCAGATAGAGCTTAAAACCTCAAAAAAAAGCGTAACCTCTTTGAATCCGAACATTGTGGCCTCCCAAGGCGTAGGCACCGCTGTACACAAGCCTTTGGTACTTTGGTGAACTTTATACAGTCTTCTGTAACCTGCAAATATAAAATCTGTAAGGAATAAAAAGCTACTCAGGCAAGCAGCCAGCCTTACCAAAATTAGGCACATGCCTTAGAGCTCATCAAGAAGTCGTGAACAAAATCCATTAGGCAAAGTTACAGCTTCCCCTTTCATAAAAAGCGAGCTACAATTTTTCCAGTCCCTTATCTCAGGAACCCTTGTCTGATCCCGCTTCTCCACCGCAAAACCATAGCTGTTTCACTATCTTTCAAACTGCCTCACATGTACTAGGGCTCCAAATGTGTCTCCATCGCACACAGACCTGCTGATATTTCTAGTGTTATAAATCAGCTGTGTCAAAGGGTGAACCAGGAAACCAAGGTCATGGAAAATGCTGCAGAAATTAGTACCTCATTATGTAAAGCTTCTCACACTTTTCTTTATTATGCGCCTGTCAGTGAGAGTTTTATTGTGTTCCCCATTTCAGCTTGAGAGGGTGTGGCTCTTATCTCCAGAGCTCCGGCCAGCCTGTACTGGGAGGAGACTCCTCCTGGGCCTGGTGGAAACCCATTGAGGTCAGTGGAATGGCTCCTAGTGATTCAGATCAGACAGTCAAGCTACTCAGGTCCCTCCACTCTCGCTGAAGGGTGGGGGGTATTTGTCAGCACCTTGCAGGTTCAGCCCATGGCTGTTCTCTGTTCTGCCACAGGAGGTGCTCTCTGCATGGCACTGGGCCGAATGGGAGTTGTGTCTGTCACACCCAGGGTTGCCAGGTGTCCGGTTTTGAACCAGACAATCCAGTATTGGAGCTTTCTGTTTGGGAAACAAATTGAGAAAGTATCAGTGAGAAACTCGAACTGTCCGGTATTTTCTAACTCAGCTGGAATGTCGATTGTGATGTCATGTCAAGTGTGTCCGCTATTTCTGTTGAAACCATCTGGCAACCCTAGTCACACCCCGTGCAGCTGCTGCTTTTATCTTCCTATGGCCCTCCACTGAGATCCCAGAAGAGATTAGAAGGCTGAGTCTGCCAGCCTCCTGACTCACTGGGGATGGGCCTGAGGAACCCCTTCTGAAATCATTGAGAGCAGAGGAATTCACAGCCCACGCAGCAAGGTCCAAAGCCACAGCCATAAAAATAAAGGCTTTTTATTTGGTTTTTTACATACACCGTTACAGAAACATCTGCATGACATTCCCAATGGCAGGGGCCTTTCGCTTGCCTCCCCTGCCCCTACTGAGGGTGAATGTGGGTCACCGAGAGGGGAGTGCTTCTGGCCTCAGGCTCCCGCTGCTCCTCCGTGGGAAACCCTGCCCTCCGGTTTTTAAGGTGTCACCTTTTTGTAGGTAATGTGAAGGTGCCGAGTCATTGGCTGCGTAGTGGTTGCCATGGAGACGGTCTGTTCTAGTTTCCCGTCGGAATTGAGCCTAAACGTCCTGGTAATCTGAGAGGGAGATGAACACACACAGCCCTTTACTTTGTTCCGCTTCCCAATTGTTTTAAATGAAGCAAACCAACAGACTAAGCGTGGCTCTTATTTCTTTAGCCCAGCCCCATTCCTGCCTGACAGACTTCCACAGGCAAAATCTTTAGGATGTTGAAATCTTCCCTTCCCTGTGCCCCCAAATCAGCTGGCTTGTTTCAGGAGTTCCTGGAGAAACTGGGATTAATCCTACTCTCCCTGCCAGTCAAACAGAGAGCGTGTCTCTCCCCAAGGCCAAGCAGCGCTGTCAGGGCGACGGTGGCTACTGTCCTGCACAGCTGGGGGCTACACTGAGAACAGTGGGCTCCAAGGGAACACTTGATGTACGACTGACAAGATGCAGCGGTGCAGATGAAATATGAAAGCACGCCTGTCATCAAAAGGAAACAAGCACAACAATAAACAGTGAGAGCCAGCAGCTACTCTGTACACAAGCATCTCCTGCTAGCAGAAAAGTAGCGGTCACTCCGGCTTTGGCCAGTCTTGCCCGTTTCCAACTTGCTAATGAAAACTAGAATTTCAAACTGAAAATACAACGCTCACACGCAGCCACGCCAAATTCCAGCTCTGATGATTCTTAGCAGCAAACCCCATATATTCGGTAAGAAGCTGGACCTAAATTCTGCAGCATGTTTCCTGAATTCTGCAGTAGCCAGCAGTGGCAGACTGGCAATTATGAAGCAGCTTCATTTAAATGAAAACATTAGGCCTGTAATTAACCCAATCAATACAGCAGCCCGAGGTCAGTAGTTTTGACGTGACATTCCCATGCTGGCACCTTTCGGTGGGACTAGTTGTCCTGAGGAAATGGACAGCTGAGCAGCTGAAGGGGGAAGCAGTCTGGCCTGCTCCTCCAAGGTATTTAGAATCTTAAATGAGAAGCCTAACTACCTGGGAGGATCTGGGTCTTTGGGATTAACACATTGTTTTCTGCTGCATGATCAGCGATTGAATAGTTAATACTGACACTGCACTGAAGGGGGGTGCTTTCCGGTAACCGTTCACATCCCTAGGCTAACCGCCCCAGTGCTGACCATCTAGATGGGGACTTGGCATGGCTGTTGCTGCACTGCCACGTGTATCCCTACCACAGACAGGCTTAGACCAGAGATTTAACCCATCGAGCTGAGCAGGGCCGCGTACTCGTCACAGACTTGGGAAGATGCACTGTGTTGGGTTACAGCTTCAGAGTGCTGCAAAGGCTTCCTTCAAGTCTGTGAGCTACCCCAGCACAAAACGCGTAAGAGAGCAGGGCATCAGGCCCATCGTTCTGAAAGCTTTGATCGTGGAGCGCAATTCGGCAGCAAGAGGTGGACTAGATGGAGCTGGACCTGTGGATCATATGGAGCCACACCTATGGGCGCCCAGCACTGCCCTGAGTAATCACTTGCCTGAATGGAGCTCAGCATAAATTCCACACGCTCAGCAGTTTGGCCCTTTCGCTTCTTTCCCTGCGTGTCATCTCCAAATTTGTTTGTGTTACTCGGTCCCCAATAGGTGAGCACGGTGCCAGAGATGAGCGGGAGTGAAGTCTCGGGGGCTGAGGGAGCCCAGTCTGAGAGCTCTGCCAGTGGTTACAGTGAGCGCGGAGCAGGAGCCTTGTCAGGGTGGCGGCGCTGGTGGGACTCCAGAATTAGGGCTGGGTTGAGATGGGTCGCTAAGGCAGGATTTAATCCTGCTATTTCTTTCCTTAAGGATTTTTAAATGGCTCCCAATTTACTACAATCACTTTGCTAAGGACAGTGGAATTCGCCATCATTTTTAGAGTTAAATATTCAGGCTCTTTAGCAGAGGAAAGGGGTTAAACGATGCCTGTTACAAATCTGCCATTTGGCTCTGCCGGTCTCACCACTTTTTATCTCCGTCTAGCTAAAGAACACAGTCCCTGGAAGCACCAACTCCACCCACATGCAGTTTCAAAATACTTTGGGCATTTGCCACCTTTCAAAGCTACTCTGTAATACATGCAGCTATTGCCCTCACTTAAACCCTTACCTAGCTGGGTAAATACTTCAGCTTTGGAAGACGTATATCTCATGATTTCTCAGACAATCTTGCTATTTCATGACTTTTGAATGCTTGCAGCTGGCAAGTTTAATCATCCACAAACATCCTGACCCTGTTATTCCTATCCTAAAATATAAGAAGGGATCTTCTACCGACGGGGAAGAATTGCATGACCTAACCCTTCAGGTCTTTTCCAGCTGATTTCTATGGTTCCACAACTGGACTTCTCATACAATGCAGAAAAGCAAGTCTCTGCATTTGCAGGTATGCTACTTCCTGCTATTAGTGCTGTGTGTGCTAGGAAGCTCTTCTCAGTGAGCTATGCTCTCAGTTACACCTTAAAGGTGCTGGCCTGTGGTGAGCCACACAACTTCGAGTACTGCACTTCTGGGTGCACTAGTCCCCCAGAGTCCCAAGCAGTACGGCGACAGCTGCATACACTCGCCTCTGTCATGGTCCTTTACGGATGGGTAGCAAGAGTAAGCCACTGCAGCTGTGGCTGGCTGCTATGAGAGGCACATGAAGAGAAGCGCTCCTTGAGTGCAGGGCCAGCCACTATCTTGCCCCAAGACATCCTGTGGCAGGAAAGGCTAATTTCAGGAGAGTTAAGATTAGTTTTCAAAGCTTAGGGGAGATGTAGACATTTATGGAATTCCAAACGTCACACTGCAGGGGTCTGTCTGGCTTTGTTCTCCCTCAGGAGATCAAGGTCCTGAGATCAAAGGATTAGACCATGCACAAAGGGAAAAAAGCTGGTCAAAGCAAAATGAAAAGTGACTGCCAATCCTGTATCACACTGGGGGGAAATTAAAGGGCTCTAAGATTTTTCATATGGACAAATGTTCCAGTGAATGTCACAGGACCCAGGGGGGAACAGCTCCCGTGGAATCTGATGGGTTCACTGGCTGTACATGGGTGATCTGGCTCCACTGGGTGTGCACTGCCACTACCAATGCAAAAGCTAGCGCTTCTATGTATGAGCAAGAGAGTCACACCCCTAGCTCCCTCCGTTGATACAGCCCTAGTTAGCTGTTCTCTGAATGAAACAGTCGGAGGGACCCACTGTTACCATCAGCAGCACACCGATTATGTCCGTCCCTTCCTTGAATGTACTGTTCAGGCTTTCATCACTTGTCACTCATGCTACCTTGTTTCAAAAGGGAGGTAGCTAGCAAAATGCAAATCTTTTCCTTCTGTGCAGAGGGGCGTCTATGATTGTATATATATATATATATAAACACACACACACACACACACTTTTGCTAACGAGAGCTAGATAAGACTTGTGCTAGTGTGACTGGGTGTGCATACCCTGCACTGGGCTGGAAGGGGTTAATAAACTATGGGTGAAGGAAGTCCCGCCCCTCCAACCATACTGGGCATGCTCTAAGTGCTGGCCTATAAAAGGAAGCCACTCAGCTCAGTCTGGGCTGGATGTTGGCGAGGAAGAACCTGCAGCAGGAGCTGTAGAAGTGGGGCCAGCTACAGATCCTGACAGCAAGATCCGGAGTCTAGATCGAGCCTCCAAAGCTGATGGAGCCTTGGGGAGCGACTTGCGCTGTGGAGCCAGAGGACTCTGAACTGAAGTTCATGGATCGCCTGCTGCCAGAGAGGGTAGGTGGGATTTCCCATGGAGCCAGGGGTGGACAATTCCACCGGGTAGGCCTAGCCCCTCCACTGGGACTGCTGCCTCACCCCCTTTCTTCTAACGACAGTCCCCTGGGGACTGGCCATTTGACTGCACTGCCCTGCAACCTAGGGCTGCTCTATAGACTCTGAATGTTAGGCCATGCTGTCCTGGGGATGACAGACTGACTCAGGTCACTGAGAGATGGGCAGTAGTAACAGCAGTGTCCACACACCCCTGTGATTCTCCCCCTCGAGATAGGATATGCATATACGGGGTGTGCATACACCATCACAAGTGGCTGGTTAATGGTACCCCCAAAATTAGAGGGCGGTGTCACTGTCCAGCAACACAAAACACGGACTCCTTAAAAATCAGAGCTGCCTAAACAGCAGTCCCAGGAGCAAGCACGTGATCCCCGACCGTCCTACCTATGTATGCCTCTTCCTCCCCGACCGTCCTACCTATGTATGCCTCTTCCTCCCCGACTGTCCTACCTATGTATGCCTCTTCCTCCTTCCGCACAGCAGTTTGTAGATTCCCCTTTCCCCTGCTCTCCCCAGTGCTTACCCAATCGTCTGTGCTGCACATCTGCTCTGGGGTAGGGATGTTAAGGACGAGTTAACTACCCGATAAGCAAAAGTTGATTTCCCTCTCCCTTTCTGCCTCTATCAAATAGAGGCAGCAAAGGGGGGGAAAGGGTACTTCAAAGCAGCAGTGCCATACAGCTGAAATGGGATCAGCTGTGCGGCCGCTGTTGTGCATGGAGCCTGGGGTCAGCGGGGGACTCCCTAACTGAACTCGGGCTCCAGCGTGGCATTTCCGCGAACCCAGGATCACTGTCCCCCACTGACCCCAGGCTCCATGCTGTGCTGCTGCTTTGAAATGCACAAGAGCCCCCACTGGGGACTCTTGTACATTTCAAAGCTGGCCCCCCATGTGCAGCCCAGAGTCAGCAGGACTTCCTGCTGGCCCCGGGCTGCACACAGAGTTCTGCATTCCTCCTTTGCAATGGACAAGCACCCCCAGCAGGGCCTCTTGTACATTTCAAAGGAGGACTGTGGAAGTACCTATCGACTAGTCGATGGACATTCCATCGACTATTCGATTAGTCGATTAACCACTACTTAACATCCTTACTCTGGGGTGGCTGCTTCTTCTCTCCTCCCTCAAATATTTTCAGGCAGAAGCAGCACAGATCCGGCAAGAGCACAAGGCATATTGCAGCGAGTCAGCTCCATTACAGCTTTAAAATGCTGCTTTTCCTCTTTGTGGTTACAGTGAAACTGCTAGAACTTTTGCCTTTGTTACCAATGGAATGTGTTTGCTCTGCTGAGTCCCTCTAGCTCCAAGGAGAACAAAGGGTTCTCGGATGAAGGAACAATTACCATGAAGGTGGTCAACTCTGCCTCAATCTCAGTTAAAAGAATATAAGAACGGCCGTACTGGGTCAGACCAAAGGTCCATCTAGCCCAGTATCCTGTCTACCGACAGTGGCCAGCACCAGGTGCCCCAGAGAGGGTGGACCGAAGACAATGACCAAGCGATTTGTCTCCTGCCGAAATTATCTAGCTACTCTTTAAACTCTATTATAGTCCTAGCCTTCACAGCCTCCTGTGGCAAGGAGTTCCACAGGTTGACTACACGCTGTGTGAAGAAGAACTTTCTTTTATTAGTTTTAAACCTGCTACCCATTAATTTCATTTGGTGTCCTCTAGTTCTTCTATTTAGGGAACTAATAAATAACTTTTCTTTATCGGCCCTCTCCACCCCACTCATGATTTTATAGACCTCTATCATATCCCCCCTCAGTCTCCTCTTTTCTAAACTGAAAAGTCCCAGTCGCTTTAACCTCTCCTCATATGGGACCCGTTCCAAACCCCTAATCATTTTAGTTGCCCTTTTCTGAACCCTTTCCAAGGCCAAAATATCTTTTTTGAGGTGAGGAGACCACATCTGTGCACAGTATTCAAGATGTGGGCGTACCATAGTTTTATACAGGGGCAGTAAGATGTTCTGGGTCTTATTTTCTATCCCTTTCTTAATAATTCCTAGCATCCTATTTGCCTTTTTGAACGCCGCTGCACACTGTGTGGAAGTTTTCAGAGAACTGTCCACGATAACTCCAAGATCCCTTCCCTGATTTGTCCTAGCCAAATTAGCCCCCATCATACTGTACGTATAGTTGGGGTTATTTTTCCCGATGTGCATTACTTTACACTTATCCACATTAAATTTAATTTGCCATTTTG